CTTAAGTGAAGACATGACCACCCGGCGACGACCCCTCCCACGTAGCTGCAACTCTGTGCTCTGATCGCTTTCTCCCCGCTCGCTTCGTTTGCGCCCCCCCAACTGCATGCCCGACTCTGTGTCTGACGGCCAAAGCTCTGCGTCCATTGCAGCATACACACTGACTGGGGAACGGCCCAGTGGTTGAGGCGAATCATTCCTGAACGCCCGGTCCTGCGAGGTCTCCTCGTCAGAAGACTCTTCCTCCTGGTGGAACTCCACGTCCTCTATGTCCTCTCCGTCGGACACAGCTTCGTTGCTTGAACCGCCACTTTCCTGATAGACGAGAAAGGACCGGAAGTTGTCAGATTGAAAGACGCTTTGAGTCGCAAGAATGCTTCTAGGCGACCTGTTTCCGCACCGTGCACAAGTTTTTTCCAACAACCCTAGATCAACGGAAACCACCTCGGCCATGCCTACATGGAAACTTGAAAGCTTACTGTCTAGAAGCGCGGTTTTTACGGGCCAGAAGGGCGCAAGTGCAATTCCCAGCGATGGCAGGCCCCCTTTGCTTGCAAGCTGCCACTGGATTCTGAAGAATTAGAGCGGGGGTCAACTTGGGGTGCTTGTGCTGCCAGGGCCGCTTATGCTCTGGCCACCTTCTCAAGATGATGATCGGACTGAGCAACTAACCATGGTCCAGCCACAGAAGAACAGGTCCCGGCCGCACAGGCACCACCCACAGAGGACGCACAGGAAGCTACCCCAGCTGACAGCTCGGCGGTCTTGCTCTCTGCCTTGAGCTGCACTCTAGCGACGGCCAGCTCGCTTATTCTGCTGATGGATGCTGGGAATGAGGCTATACATTCGGAACTTCGGACCTTGGTTGGGGCGGTGGATGCTGGAAATGAGAATTTACGTTCGGAAATTTGGAATTTATAGGCCCGCATTGCTGCCACACGGGACGGTCCGGTCGGGACGGTCCGACCAGAAAGCCCAGACATTCGACCACGTATACGAAGGCAAACTCCGGAATTTTGAACGTGCTTCCACGTGGTGCAATGTGAGGGCCTGGCTTGCGTCGACGTATAAGTCCAAAACTGTCCAGATGCCTTGCGTACCTACATGGCTTTTTCGATTCCGGAGCGGGTCGGGACGGGACGGGGACCCTTAGCGATCCATCGAGGCCACCCGGCCGGGACGGACGGGGGGACACGTGGCGGCACGGGAGTGGGCGGTTTTATGCCGGATCTGGATAGTTGGGGCACCCTTCTTCCCTGCTTCCTCCTGTCGCTCAAGTCCTTATGCCTAGGTATTTACAGTATTAACTAGAAGTGTCGGAACTGAGGGCACAACTACGGTACCATCAGGTTTTTAAGATTATCTCAAATTTAGGGTTTGCAATGAAGGTGCTGCCCTTCACTGAAGAAGTTCGCCTCTCCTGCTCCGCCCGTTGCTGTGGCGCTTGCGCCTTGAAAGTCGCAAGCTTTGTGCTCTCCGTTCAAACTTCAGTCCAATAACAAAGTTACTTCCTTTGCAGTGAATATTAGTAAATACCTAGGCATTCAAAGGAGGACTTGAGCGACAGGAAGAAGCATCAATGAAGAAGGGTCCTCATCGCACGGACTTGAAGAGTTCCTGTCATAAAACAGAAGCACCAGCACCTAGATCAAAACCCAAAGCAGGGACTCAAGCGTTTACGTAGGGCTATGACAACTGCAGCTCGTCCCACGTGGGCCCCGGCAAAGGGTTTGGAGGAGAGGCGGACCTTTGGGCCCAGCAAACAAGTCTCAGCAAGAGACCTGCCCGGGCAGCTCACAACTAATGTCAGGAGAGAAGGTCAAGGCCCTGCTGGTGAGCTCCACTCTTGAAAGACCTGCTAGTTGCTGCTCTTCTGGTATTGTCCCTTTCCATCAGGTGTTGACCCCAGAGTGTTACTCTTTGGTCTGCCTAAGCCGCTGACCAGAGGAAGCTCCGCAGAGGGCGTGGCAGTTGCACCCTCATCTTGGATGTAGGATTTGTTCTGATATTAGTGCCATGAACGCTTGGGCTGGGAGGACTATGTTCTGTGAATTTCGGAAAGATCATAGTAGCCAGAGGAAGCTGGGTCTGTTTCTTGGAAAGGCTATGTCTCTTTTGTTGAAGTGTCTGCTCAATTCAACCAGCTAATCAGGAGATCTTTGGGGGGATTTGGGAGCGTGGAAAGCTGCTTTCGGAAGTGCAAGTATTGTGAGGCGCAGAGACTGCAGATTGCCTCTTGGTGCTTCCACAGGAGTGGGCAATGAGCTTCATTTTGAATTTCAGGATGATTGGTAGCAGCAGAATTTGCTGGTTTACGTGATTAAGTAACGGAGCGTAGGAAGTGCTGTCATTTGTCAAGGGCTTTTCTTCATGCTGGGTCACTTTGATGGAGCAAGGGAGACTAGGAATAGGATGGTAATACAAACCTACTTGTTTTAAGTTGAGTAAAGTGGTAGATGCAAAAGAAAGGGAAGAGCCATCGAGAAGGTGCACAAGCGGTTGACTGCATTGTTATGCGGACGGTCAGCTTCTGCTAAGTTGCCATCTTCTGAGCGGTGACAATTCGGACACACATCTGATACTCAGCTCAAAGAGGGCTGAAGGAGCCTTATCTCATTTTACGCTTGGCGGAAGAAATTGGCTTCATCGTCTCGATATTTTCTTCATGTACACCAGGAGACCTCCTTAGAATCAGAGGTCTCTTAGCAAGGATGACGATTGATAGATTTGGAGAAACAAGCCCGGCAGAGAGTGGGACCCACAATGTTTAGAAGATACTGAGCTTGGAAGTAAAAGGATACGCAGAGAAGCATCGTCCAGGTCAGCAATCATTGCTATGCCTGTCTGGGCTGAGCAGCTGTAAAAGTAGCGGCAGCATTATGGTCATGCCTGAGTTGTGTGCTGGTTCGATGAGCCCATGCGCAGGTGCAGTGGACAGCGCTCAGAATGAGGTGACCAGGGCTGTGGCAATGCCATCAACTCCGTCCAGAACCACCTTTTGAAATTTGGACGCATGCAGGTGTTGAAGCAAAATGCATGTGCTGTTGTCTCTAAAAATCCCTTCCTGAGTGTGTCATCTAGAAATTGCGGTTGACTCATGCCGTGTTCATCTGCTACAGGGCTGTCCAGAACCTCGGTAAACAGACTGCTCTTGAACAAGCCTGGGTTGGTGAGGTCACCGCGCCAGGGTCTCATGACGGTGAGGATGCAAGGTGAGAGACACATCACCATATTGTGTTGTGCACCTTAAAAGCTTGGCCTTGAAGCTGCGCTGCTAATGCTGGGCTCTCGTGTTCCAGTCTCCTGCTGCTCCTGTGCCCAATCCCCAAGCAGTTTTTGCCAGCAGAAGTAGCTCCAGCTGTCATGTGCAATTGTTCTTCCGGAACCAACCAAATTTGATTGCAAATCCTCTGTATATGCAGCTTCAAGCCTTTCGTCTAAGCCTCCAGATGATGGTAGATCAGACATGCAACAGCAAGTTGCAAAGGGCCTCCAAGGTGGGCGGCTTTGGTCAGACTACCGTTGATGTGACCTTCATAGCTTTCTTAGCTTCAGGACGCTATGAAGCTGGTGTTGTCAGCTTTCTTGACTCGTGCTTCAGGTGCTAATTGTCTGTTGTAGTGGTTCTTGCATTGGTGCAAAAGTGTCTGATTCTGCCATTGGTTAGTCGCCACCACAATGAAAATCTGCTGTGTGTCCAGCGCTCCAAAGTTATGCCAACTACATTGCAAATGCGGACACCGCCAGCGGAGTCATCGAGGTCCCCCCCAATCTTCCGCCGGCAGTACCTCCAAGCCTGAGGGACAGCATCGTTATCCGGCCATGCTACCTCGTGCTGCTGGAGAAAATCGATGCTCTCTCGGACAACTTTGCTGTCGTGCTCAGTGGCTCCCCGGGCATTGGGAAGTCTGCTTTCGCCATCCTTCTACTGCACCACTTGGCAAAGCGGGGGGCTCAAGTGTCGTACAGGTGTGCGCACACCGTTCTCGGCTGACTCAGTAGTTGCCCGCTTTGACTTGTAGCGTGTGTTGCTGAGCAACTTGCTAAGCAGGCCTTCTGCAACAGGAAATATAATGCCTACTTGTTATGTGCCAACACTCTTAGTTTGCCTTTGCAGGTACAAAGACAACACTGCAGGGAATGTTATCGTCTTCTTCGATTTCTCGGATCCATCGGCGATTAACGTCAAAAGGGCCTTTGAAGGCTCTGTTGATTGGCCATCACTCATATGTAAGCAAAAGTCTGAAACATGATGATGCAACCGTGAAACCCTTGTTATGCAGCAAAGGGCAGTTTGCTTCCAGGTTCAAAGAGCTGCAAAGGTTCCACGATGGTGGATGCTCAACGCGAACATGTGTTTTCCGTGAAGTCAGGTGACGGTGTAATTACATGGCAAAGCGCACTCTCTCTGGGCCTGAACTATTGATGCTGTAAATGACAGCATTGCTCTTATGCCTATCAGCAACGGTTGTCCTCTCTTGTTGTGCAGATCTTTCTGAGCAGCCTACCGTTTGGGAAGTGGAGGACGGACGAGCGCCCCAGGGGCAGTTCCGGGGTTATGGTCGCTATGTGGTACTTTGCTCGCCCAATGCAGACAACTACAAGGAGTTTCGGAAAGGAAAGTAAGTGATGTGTGGAACAATGTTACTAGACGTTGCAAAGCGAGTTGTTCATGGAGGGGAGGAATTAGGACCTTGATGTGTGCCAGGGTCTGGGTTCTTGCCTGGGCTCGCAACTCCGTTTGCAACAGATCCGCTAGCTTTTGCTAAGTGTCGCTCGCTCCTTGTGCTTTTGCTGGTCTGCAGCCTTACAAAAGTAAACAGGTTGACGGAATCCTGGCTGCAAGCCACTGACGTTACAGCACCTCGCAGCACGTCCTGGAAGGCTGCTAATCAGCTTCCCCTCCTTCAGGCGTTCGCTTGCAACCCTCTCTCCTTTGTGGGTTACCGTTTACCAGAGGTTACATTGGCCTGCTGCTGATTAACACCTGCGCCTTTGTCTTGTTTCATCGAGCGTAGACAGGCAGGTCTGGCTTTTGCACCCCCTCTGACCCTTAGCTCTTCCCACAGCAGGCACTTTGGGACCTGCTGATAATTTGAATTGTGGTTCAGGAGATGCCGGCTCTGGTGGCTTCCCACGTGGTCGCTGTCCGAGTTGGAGGACTGTCGGCGGCGCCTCTACCCTGAGGTGTCGGAAGAGCTGATGGAGACCCGCGTCCTGCAGTTTGGCGGGCTGATCAGGAACGTCCTGGCGGACCCTGACCTTCCTTTTGAGGACGTTGCGGAGACCCTTTCGGCTGATCAGGCTATGGACTTGTACCACCTGAGCCTTCAATCGCTGGAGAGTGAAGTGCGGCACATTTTCGCACATATTGCGGTGAGACAGCTCGTCTTGATAGGACAAAATCATGGATTAGAATGATACCCAACCTCTCAGTATTCTGCTTGGTCTTTGTTGTTCTCGTGCCTTGAGGGTCGGCGTCGACCGAAAAGGCTGAGCCTGCATTCCCGATTCTCTTGTCCAGCGTGGACCAATCAGAGACCAAGAATCGAAACCCTTGGTTACAGATACTGATTATCCTCCATAACCCGGCATGAAACCCGTTTTCAAATGGTGGAATGCTGGAATGCACCATCTTTGTCGCTGAAGTTTAGCTTACAATGGCTGGCAGATGGGAAGGCACAGACCTTTATGCAGAGTGCCATTTTGTGTTTTTGAAAGGCTTGAGGAGTCAGATTGGTAATTGGTTTCATTTGAATGGAGAACACGAGCCCCCCGTTTTGTTGCTTTGAGGGGCAAAACAGTCCATCCAGAAATGGGGGGCGTTTGTGTGATCGAGAATTGAAGCATCTTGATGAAAGAGCATCTGAAACATGATATTTGACGTCTTGACCAACGCATAGGATGCGTTTTGAACGTCAGAATTGCTTGCAAGCAGCTAATGGGACCCTCATCCGCAACAATGTCCAGATGTTTTAGATTCTTCACCAACTTTGAGGAACTTCTGATTGTACCTGAACGTGAGAAGAACCATGACAAGATAAATACAGTGAGTCCCAAAGATGATCAATGAGCTGAAAAGCTGCTCGTTGATACATTCACAGAGCACGTTCTGATGTTCGTCTCAAGCCCGGCCATCATAATTAGGGTTCAGCTGTTCAAGAAGCTGGCAAGCTGGTGTTATCTCAAATACTAGTACAGCAAAACAACGGAATGCCCTAAGTACGGTAGCAATACGTTGTAAGTTTACCAGCCATGTAAACATTCAGCACTCATGCGCGACGAGTTGGATGCGTAGATGCTGATGAGCTGATCATTCCCATGCTGATCAGCTTGCGTCAGTCACTACTGATCGATCTTCCGGGTCTGAAAGTTTCAAGTCCCCAGCCTCGGTCAGGCCCGAGTCTGGCTTTTAATAGACTGGGCGAGCCGCTCCTCAGTACGCCACGTAGGTTCCACGTGATCGGTTTCGATCGCCTGAGACGTCCATCACTTTTCGGTCGACGCCGACCCTTATTTGGATTGCAAGCTTATGCATTGCAAGACTGGCGACACAATTGGTCCCTGCAGTCGGGCCTGTGCTCCTCTATTGAAGCAGGTTTGAAGGCAGATTTGACGGTGTGCACTCACTTGCACACGATTAATCCCACCTGACCACCTTTGCAATCTGTGTGTGCAGGTAACAGAAGATCTTCGCAGAGTGGGGTACGTCCTTGGTTCGCAAGCTATCAAGGCGCTTGTCTTTGCAAGAGCTCAGCGGGGTCGGTGGCGGGACCTGGTGGACCTGTTGCATGCCGCTGCCAGCGAGAAGGAAGTAGGCAAGATGTCAGGGGATGCCCTGGAATCCTTCGGGCACGCAGTATGTCTACAGGGCATCGAGCTGAGTAGCGATGATATTAGGCAGGTCTTCAGGAAGGCGCCCGGTCGGCCGCCAGCGCAGAAAGCAGTGAAGGAACCGACACCGGAGCAGAGGCAAGTGATCATGGAGATTCAGAATGCGTTCCGGGGCACCAAGATCCTGGTTTGGGACAACCCCAGCAAAATGAGCAATTTGGCGATGCTGACGGAGTCGTACGTTATGCCAATCACAAGAATCCAGGAGTCGTGGGACTCGTTAATCTGCTCGGGTGATGATTGGGTAAATGCAATCCAGTTCACCCGGAATGTCAACCATGGGATTGGCGCGGGCGGGATTCTGAAACTTCTGCAGCGAATAAGTGGAAGCCAGAAGAAAGTGCGAGTCGTACATGCAGTGCCAGAAGAAAGATTCGAGGAGTATGGCTGGCAGTCTTGGACTGGTGAGAAGGCAGCCGAAAGAGTGGGCAAGACGGGTTTGAAGGAGATAGTCGTGAAAAAAGGCGTTCTTCCGGAGGACAAGGTCCCTGTTGAGCTCGAAAGCATAGAGCAATGGGCTATCCGGTTGAAGTTGCCTGAGCCAGGTAGCGATGCTGCCAGCTTTCCCAGAGCAGCTTTGTCAACGTCCGACAATCTCTCAGAATATTAACTGCCATGAGCCAGGTAGTAACGCTCCCAGCTTACCTAGAGTAGCTCTGCTAATGTCTGACAACCTTTTAGAATTAAAAATTCCTGAGCCAGGTAGTGACGCTCCCAGCTTACCCAAAGCGGTTTTGCCAATGTCAGACAACCTTCCAGAATAAACACAGACCGAAGGTCATGTTTCCATCAATACCATAATTAGAATTCGGTGGCAACAAACATTTTGGATGAGTCTCTGTATGTCATGGTGATGATGCCCGAGTGAAGTTGGTGGGTGCAATATACTATGATAAGGATCATGTGTTCCATGCATACCTTGGACGCTTCAGTTGTTACACAATTAACCGGTGGCTGATTCTATCTTCTCAATATACGCCCTTGGCCACACAAGTACCATGGGCCGAGGAGACCGCGGCATACAATACTGGCTCGTCAGCTAATTAAACATAGTTGCAAGCGACGCAAATCAGTGCCATGCTTGCATGTGAAGTGGGAAGTACAAATATAATTCAAAGGAAAGCATCCTCAACTTGGAACATGCAACATGACCACATGTTCATTGTTCAACAAAGGCTTGCAAGCATGATGCTGCAACTGTCAACAAGCGACTTCATATATTGCCCATGTGCATATGGTTGCAACATGCCAAGATACATCGGTTTTGCATCTGAAGGCATGCACACAACGAATCCAACTGCTCGGCATCCGTAATCAGCAGAGAGGAGGTAGGGATCAAAATGTGAGGGCGCGCGACGGAATCACTTCGCGCCAAGTATGTGATGGCTCTTGCACTTAGTGCAGGTTACAAGAGCAAGGCTCTGCTTTCGAAGTTGGTTTATGTCATTCGGCTCGAAAGCCCAAACTCAGCCACCGATTTCGCAGAACTGCCAGGCACCTTGATGTACTGATTCACCTTGTGAGCTTTTCGACATTGATCGCATGTAGTCCCCACATAGCAGCCCTCAACTCGGTTCTCATGTCGTCAATGCCTCTTAATCTCAAGTACTCTATAATTGGTGGACGGACCGGATAAAGTCGAGGGCTGTCATTTGTGCTGTATCAGGCCGCCCTGTTTGTCTATTTCGCTAGGACTCTGTGCTGATCTTGGAGCATTCGTCTGCTCTTGGATCTGCTTCCCTCGATCTGCAGGCGGAAGGGTGATACACTTCAGCAACTGTCAATATCCTGTCGTAACTCAAAGGCACCAGCCACATACTCGTCCTTGTCAGCCATCCAGCAACCCTGGAACATCCAGTCAAAACGCAACACACACCTGCCCCAGTTCGGAGCCAATTACATGACCCCGATGGCTTCGAACTGGCTCCCTGCACTTACGACAGCTCCTAGTGAGACTCCTTTTGCTCGTCATCTTCGTTCCTTGCTCTCAACAAGGTTTGCAGCCTCGCGGGCCTACCTGTGAGGTTGGTAATTGCGGCCTCCTCTCCCTGCCCTGCCAGCGCGGCCCCGTTCATGTTGCCTAGGGCTGCCAGCCCCTCTGCGACCTTCTCCGCAAACTGGCGGTCCTCATCCTAGGCGGAGCGGCTGTGGGCCACGGCAAGTGCTTCCCGGGCGGCCGCCACCAGGGCTGCCACGTGGCCCATCGTGCTGCTCCTGGCTCTCGTCAGTAGGGCGCCGCCTGCGCCACGGGTAGAGAGGAGGGGGGATGCGTCAGTCTACTAGGCTCAGAGTTCTTGGAAAGGGAGTTTAGAAAGACTATGGAAAGAATACTGTAGATTAGCAGTGATTGAGATGTAGACACATGTCAAACTCGCCCATTGGAAGCAGGAGCGGAAACGTCATGGGCCTCAAGAGAGTGGATGGTGGTTGTTAGGTTTTGTCCATGCCAGTTCTGGGCTTGGGCCTCTGAAAGAAACTCCGACTTTAGAGGAGACGCAAATACAATCTGCAAAAGCGCAAAAGACCTGATATGGTGCTCCAGTACTGTACTATCGAGGCGCTTGCCCCTTCCAACATTCAGTTGTTGTGCACAGTTAGTCTGCAGGCACCTTGAACTAGCCAGTGGTGTGGTCCCACCTTGCTGCGACATGCTTGAGCAAGTCCGCCGCCCCATGACGAAACTCGCTGGCCTGCAGCAGCGCCCCCGCGGCTTCGATCAGGCGACTCGACTCCAGGTTCGGCACAGGTGCCCACTTCAAGTAGGCATCAGCTGCGGCCAGGGCGGCGGTGACCACGGCGGCATGGGGCCGCGCCTGCTGTTGCCGCCTGCTGCGCCGCCATGGCTGCCCCGCAGTGCTGGGAGGCCAGGTGGTAGAGGAGGGGGAGAACGATGCCCAGGTTGGCGTTCAGGGTCAACAGCAGAGCACGCCGGGCAGGGGCTGCACACCAGCAAGGATACCAGGTCTCGTTGGTCTTGATATAAAGGACGGGAAGAAAGGCACACAAGGATGGAACGACAAAGGATCCGACCCACACGCAGCATTGTGTGATACGAAACGGGACTCTGTGTGCGGCTGCTATGTGCGCATGACCAGATTGATACATCATCCCAGTCCCAGACACAAGCCCATCTGGCGTTGTCCATAATCGCATACGGAAGAAAGGCAGGCTATTCGGTTGTGAGCCCCTGCTTCCCGCAATTGGAAACATGAAAAGCTACTTATGCAACACACACAACCGATAGCAAAAAATTGTTGTGGTAGTAATATACGATACGTCATGACGCCGGCAATCCGGTCGTTTCGCGTACAAGCAGCTTTTGGTGGTAGTTGTAAAATGTTCTACGTTATATATGTTGTGTAGTGTCCCAACCCCCCCCTCCCGGAGGTAACGCTTTATATATATATGTAGTATATGCACGATAGACTGGAGGTGCAGACTGGCGTTACTTCTTAGGAGATCCACAACTCAGTCGAGAGAATTTTGCAGACTGCGCCAAGATATCGTTATAGAGTGAAATGGTTCCCGGTACCTACCTCTTACTACCGGTACGTACCGTACCAGCCTTTGCGCCGGTGGAAAAGGCCAGATCCGAGATTCGAACCTGGGACCTCCAGGTCTAGATCCTGACGCTCTAACCGCTAGGGCAAAAGAACATGGTCGACAACACAAGGAAAAGTAAAATGTAAAAAAAGAAAGGGAGCTGCGACGTCAAATAACAAACTACAGACTCAATAACTGTACACTTTTGGTACGAAAAGTACGCAACTTCCTTATCTTTCTTAGGTACAAGACTTACAGTGTAAATGCGCTTCTCTCACTTAAATTTCCCTCGCGGCCGCACAACTTTCAGTCTAGCCGCATTATATTCTCTTATTTGCACATTCACATATTTACGGCTGCGCAATTTCCCCGGCCCTGTGTGTAGTGGACATGACCGACAAAATTCGGAGCAGCCGGCTCCAAATCAATAGTCAAAGCGGTCGCCCTCTTCAAGCAGGCGCCAGAATCGGTTCCACCTTGTATCGGAGCTTGAAGTTGGAAGCAACTAAGACATGCCGACCACCTCTTGTCTACTACGTTCTACTAGTAGAAACTACTCGTGGATCCCGTGCTTTTCCGAAGGATCGGTACGAGTTTCAAGATCTTTAGCGGAGGTGTCGTGGCGAATGCAACGAAATGGCCGGTGCAGCTCTCAAACTATATAAAATCAAAGTTGGTACATCGTCTTGCGGTGGCGTGTAAGTGCCGATCAATCCTACGAATTCAATCACTTTCGTAGGAGGAACAAGGTGCGCGAGCAGTTCTCGGATAGAAGTCGCGTTATCCTGTGCTATACCGACACCGGCATCTTCGTCGGAGATGTAGAATATGTTCTCCCCATCGAGTCGCTCGATCTCGAAGCTGCTCCAATCTTGTGCGCCTGGAGTCCGAGCCACAATGTGCAGGCTGAGACGGCAAGTGCTGCGAGCCATCATTTTCATTGTGTCCGCAATTAATTGGAAAATTTGGGAGCGGTTCATTCGTTTTTGTATCATGCAGGATTTTCTCTCAGCATCGCCCACTCTGCAGCAAGGACAGCCTGGTCAAACGGATTGTGTTGATTGCTGCTGACAGCATCTCAGCATCACAGTCCATCGCATATCTCACGCGAAAGCACCGTACGTGCTCGAGTTCCAGGGGCGACACAGAGGGAATCAAGAGGGGAAATGTCTGGTGCCGTATGCATTTCGCTTGGACCCCACGGACTCCTCCCCGACCAATTTGAACGTACTCACAGGCGTATCGGGCCAGCGAAGCTGCGTCCGGCCTGTCTCCATTGTTGAACGTTGTTCGCAGCATCGCTTCCATTGCTTCCATTCTTACCTGCTTCTTATTTGCCTTGTTGATCCTCTTTTGCAGCTTCTCCAACAGAGCCGCAAGATAGGCGGCGGGCGAGCCAAATTTGAGAATACCTGCCGCCACGACATCGAAACTGTAGTGGATGAGCCTCACAATCCGGTACCTTTGCAGCGGTTTGAGGTTCATAATTTCAACAAGGAAGTCGCGTCGTGCCATGTCAGGTCGCATTGCTGCGCTCTCCGAGCCACCCCAGACACCCGAGAAAACAAATTGCAAACAGAGGCGGCCTCTCGCGTCGTACTGAGCATCATAATCCGAGTCCCAGGCGTATTTGCGCCCCCACCGTTGTGGGAGCTCTCTTGATTGTGTGGCTGCGCGACGCCTGGCTGCCTCCCGTGCCAAGTCCCAGCTGTCATCAACGGCCTGCTTGAAGCCCTTTGAGACGCACGCCAACGAACAGAGGGTTTTGACATCAATCGAAGAGTGCGTGTGGAGAAGCTGGACCAACGTCGACTCCATTCTGAACATTGCACAGAAGCTTGGTGAGCCGGCAACACGCATGTCTTGCTCACACAAGCCTGCAATCAGAAGCTTAGGGCCAGTTTCACATGCATTGAAGTATCGTTATGGAGAGTCTTAGACGGTATCACAATATGGTTAAGACCAAGGCGTTGAGCGAAGCTCTTCAAGGCGGGGACGCTCCCAGCACCTCCCTCCTTGACCTGGCATGTGGGCCAGGTTCAGATTTGCACAAGTGGCAGCGGTTTGGCATTCATGATGCGATGGGCCTGGATGCCAGTGAGGAGGCCATCCTAGAAGCGCGAAGGCGGAACAAGACATGCAAGACAGCCTACCGTTTCGTCATAGCGGACGTATGCAATCGGCTAGAACGATATGCAAGACAGGAACGGTGGAATGTCATCACATGCAACTTTGCGATTCACTATCTCATGGAAGATCCAGAGAAGTTTGCCAACTTCCTCAGTGCAGTCAGTGGTGCATTGAAGCATGGTGGATACTTTATCGGCACTGTCCTGAATGGTGATAGGGTGGATCAGCTCATGGGCAACAGCAGCAGCTACAGGAACAGCATCCTCAGCGTGCGGCGGGCGGGTGACATTATGGAATTTGACATGCACGGCACGTACTACTTTGAGAATGGAGCCAGCAAAGAGATGTTGGTACGACCAGAGGACATCATAGGTCCAGCTTTGGCAGCAGGGCTCAGCCTGAAGCGGTGGAGTAGCTTCCCTCAATACTTGTCAGTTCCACAAGACTATTCCAAAGATGAGAGTGTTATTTCAGCACTGTATGACACATTCGCATTCCGTAAAAGGACGTGATTGTTCTTTGTGCCAATCACGCACACTCGCTCTTTGTTGCGGCTCAATGTCAAGGCCTTGACTGTCTTGCATCTCTATGTACAGGCATCTACAGTTCCAAGCTGACCTGCATCTCTATGTACATACATCTGCAGTTTCAAGCTGCCTTGCATCTCTATGTACAGGCATCTGCATCCTGACAATGGAATTGGGTCATCACATGCAATCAAAAAGGACTATATACACTCGAATATATGTACCAAAACTATGGACAGAGTTCTATCTGAGCTTCCCTCCACACCCTATCACCGAACAATCGTGCCCCCAATAATCTGCTGAAATGCGCAACCCAGTACTTTTGGCAGTGATGGCGCTCAACTGGAATAGCGCTCCCATGAGGCCTCATTTGACGGAGCCCATCCCTTCCAGGATCTATGAGATCCAAATGCAAGCTTGCACTCCCAATAATGTCTAGCTCATTGAGCACGACCACAGGCTCGTGTACCATGTATGCCCGTGAATCCTCGTCCGATACGTCCTCAAAAAAGCAGACGACGTCCGCCCGCAAGAACACTTGTCCGGCAGTTTTAAGGCCCTCCTCCGAGGCAATGGCTGATGCACATTTTGTTGCAAATTCACGAATGGCTTTGTGCAGCTTAGGGGAGTGCCAAGTTTGAGAGAGGCTGTGACACGGCTCCTGCCTTCGACTACCTCTAAGGCTCGTCTGATACTGGGGCGTCACGGCCATACCATCAGGACCAAACAGCTCACTGAAGATCTGGCCCTCTTCACAGTACACTGGGGATGTACCAGCCTTAAAGATTGGTGTGTATACCAGTAGCGCTTGTAAACCTCCCTTAGACCCTGGGCCATGTAGTGGAGGTGGAGTTACAAAGACCTTATACTCAGCTTTTGGGAAGGTTGGGAAGAAGGGTTGCAGCAACCACACTCGCACCTCCTCCACGTACTTGTGCATATGGGCCAACATAAGTTGCACCAGACTTTCAAGCGCATTCCTCCGGGCTGGCATATTGAACTGCTTCAAACCCGACCCACAATCTCCAACACCTGGCTTCAGAATGTACCCTCCTGGCTGTGCGCGAGGGTGCAATATTGACATGCCAGGGGCACTGGGTAAATCTTTGAGAGCCTTCTCAATGTCTGCGGCCGAGTCTGAACCAGTGTACGTGATGACCTGCAGAAGGACAGGAATATCTCTTGTGAGCTCCCCTGATGAATCACCTTAGCTCACGAGCGCCCCCTTGGACATTCTTGAAAGCCGAACAATGCATGCAATGGCCAAAAACATTCTGCAAATATTGACCCACCTTTAAGGGGATGTGCTCCAGTTTTAGGCGGTCGCACAGTTGGTACTGCACTTCTTTGATACTCACGGCCATGTACTCTTCCAATGATGGGATGGACGCAATCCCAGCAGAAATGAGCACTCCTTGCAGCTTGCCAATAGTGGCATATGCGTCTGGGCTTTGAGCTGTGCTCAATGGAGGCAACAGGACCACCGCAACTCCATGGCTGCAGAGAGTGTCCGTCTGCAGACACGATGGACGGTATTTTGTTTCCATAGACCCATGTGCTCAGAGTTGAGAATCAAGGTCCATTACTATGAAAGCACGAGCTCCACAATGCCTTGAACGTCAGATAGGGTCTGAGAAGCTACTTGCCTGGTTCATAGCGCTCCAGAAGCTGTGTGCATCAGTTATGTGAAGCTTTTCGCGGACATTGATATGGTAAGTACCTGCCTCTCCAAAGCAGAGATTAGCACTGCACGACAGAGAAAGAGGAGGCATGCATGAGAATATCCCCTAAAACCCTAAAACCCTGTACATTGCAACCGATTCATACAAGCATTCCTTCGAATGTACAAGCGATGCAGCGTACCGTAACACCTACCTGAGAGCTTCATAGGCCAGCAGTAGGTAGGAGGGCACAGCTTTGTAATCCTCCCAAATCTGGCGCAAAGTCTTGTATCCATCGAATACTTTCAGAACTAGCTCGCCTCCAGTCAGTAGGTTGTTAAAACCATCGGTGACAAGCTTCACAAGGGGATGTGTTCCGCTCAACACTGTGAGGCAGAGATCAACTGAGAAGATGTGGAGGCAGAGTAAGAATGTTTTGGAATTCTGCATTGCATCTTCGAATGCGCGTGTTTTTCTCCTTTCCAGGTATTCACGCTGACGTTTTTGGGCAGTCCCATTGTTTTCCATCCTTGAGCAGCAGGGCCTCTGCCCACTGGCAAAACCTAAGTGTGGCTCAACTTTCGCAAATGACGCTGG